CCCCAAAACCCCAAAACCCCAAAACCCCAAAACCCCAAAACCCCAAAACCCCAGAGAATATAAACCTTGCTGATTCACATTATGGAATATTATAACTAGGTACTGTATATTCCGTCATTGTCGGACTAGTGTCTTTTATCTCAACTGTGTGGGCACTCTGCAACCTTTTTAACATAGCTGGATGTAAGGAAACAGCATCTGTTGATACATTGAATCTCTTCATTCCTACAACCTCTTTGAATTCCTTTGCACCAGAATCGTATTTGTAATATTTGTTCACATAATCCTCTAATATTTCAGTAGGCATTTTAGTACCTCCATACAGCTTGTTAACAGTTCCAAGTCCATCATGAGAGTAAAGGCCTTTGAACTTTTGACGTCCAAGAGAGGTCTGGAGTAGGATTATAAAATATTTAGAGTCATTATCTTGCAAAACTTGAAGGACCTCCTCCCTCTCATGTTTTCAAACTTCTCCTGCCAAACATACAGAAGAAATTGCGTTCTTGATCAACTTCTTATTAGATGGCTGAGAAATTTTTACACCAGGGTTCCTAGATTATAAGCAGCTATATTTACTTTGGTTTCTTGTAGACTGGATGATCTCCCATCAAATTATTCCGCCTAATATTCTTTTTAAGGTCTGAAACAGGAGAATTTAACTTCTCTCCTCTATTCTTTGTCTTTGCACTCCCAGCAGCATCTGGGATATGCTTGGAATACCCCTCATCTACCTGCTTTTGAGTCTTCCGAATCTGAGCAGACTGAGGTATCACATTTGAATATTGATTACTGGCATTTTTCTGTTCTTCTCTCTTTTTCTGCCACTCTAATTTTCTTTTCTTCTCATTCTCTTCCCTTCTCTTCAGGAATTGCTGCTTCTTTGCTTGGATCTTCTTCATCTCTTGGGTTGATGCAAAGTTGATTTCCATTGCGACATTTTTAACAGGCGAGGGTTTATCACAAACACCTGCGGCTTCTTGGTCTTCATCAACATCATCTTCTGGTTCAAAGTCATCATTGTAGTTGTCATCTTCCTCTTGGAAGTTTTGTGTAGGTTCATAAGAGTCAGCTTCGTTTTCAGAATATAGGTTCTTAGGTTTATTGAAAAATCCAGGCTTTGGTGACATTTGTGCAAGAGTATCTTCACCTCTAACTTCATTGAAATCTGGACTGAAGTTTATACCAGGAGCTTCCTTCTTTCCCCATTGCTTTCTTTGTTTAGCAACCTCTGCTGGAGCTGGCTTAGGAGAGTTATCACTGTCAAAATCAAAGTCATCGTCGCTATTTCTTAAGTCTTTTGATATCTCCTTATCAGAATCAAAGAATTTGGTCCCGAAGCTAAAATTTCCCTTAGAGAGGACAGTCTTTGCTTCATTATGCAAATCTGCGAATTCTTTTAAAGGATCGTTGTCATCTAAGTTTTGGAGGCCGTCTGGCTTCCTCATGCCTAAATATTTATAAAAAACACTTACCTTTAGAGGTAAAAACTACGTTTTCTCTATTCAGATTCTCCATCTCTTTGTTCTTGAACCTGAAGCTTAGCTGAAAATCTTTCTCAGAAGACTGGTTCTCAGTTGGCTGCTCATACTGGAATACATTAGTCGAGTTGTGATCTTTAGAGTTTGTTTTGCCCTCTTCTGCATTGTTTAAGTCAAAATCATCCCAGTCATCATTTTTAGTAATCTTAGAGGTAGTCTTTGGCCTAATTGGAGTTATTCCATAAGAATTATCTGATTCATCAAGGGGGTTAATGTTCGAGAAATTTCCATAACTCTGCTCTGAAGGCTCTCCAAAAGTTTGCTGATATCGATGATTTATAGGTCCTTTAGGTATAGGAATTTCCATATTTTTATCAAGCTCATCTTGATGAAGAGGATGTATTTCTTCTTGAGGTTCTTCCTCATATTCTTCTTCATAGATATCGTCATTTTCTTCGTTGTCTTCATTTTCTTCCTTGATTTCTTCTTCTCTCAGAATTGAGTCAAATTTGGCCGATCTTTGGAAATAAGCTGTATCTACATTCCTTCCTTTATGTTGATCTGTTTCATGAGTTTCATCAGGCTCAGAGTCAAAATCATGCAACGAGTCATTTTGGGTAGGTGACATTAACACTTTATAGTTGTTTTCTTTCAGTTCTAACCCCTTCGAGTATTCTGGAGGCTGAATTGATAAGCTATTAGGCCCAGTATTGTGGGATTCTCCTTCTTCATTAGACTTCTTCTTCATTTTCATCAGTAGATCAATGGCTCCTCTTTTAGCTTCTTGAATTTTATCTTCTTTCTGTCTCTCTTGCTCCTTTATTTTCTTCTGGAGATTCTGTACTTGATATTTAATCTCAAATTGCATCTTATTTTTCTCTAAAGTTCCAAATTTTTCAAAATTTCCAAACCCTTCATTATTGGTATGTGAAGGGAAATCATATTCCATTTGCTGAGATTCTTGATGCTTCTGAGGACTTTCTCTATTACTAAATTTACTCTCTTGGTTCCTTTTCATCATCTCTTGAATTTTCTCAAATCTGTTTTGACTTAAGCCATAGTTTGGATTATATTCAGATATCGGGACTTCATGACTTCTCTCTGTAAGATGTTCTCTTTGATGATCTTGACTAGATCTCTGAAATGTACTATCTGGAGCAAATTCTGAATATTCTCTATCCTGAAAAGTACTATCAAATCCATCAGTCTCCTCACGGTCATTTATCCCATAAGTAGAGGCAGATTGTCTAATATCGCTTTGTCTCTCCTGGATAGACATCCTAGATTCGTTCTCAAATGTATTTTCCTTAGATAAAGATGCTTCATTAACAATTTCTAGCTGCTTCTGTGCCTCCAATTCCTGTTGCTTTCTCTCTTTTTCTAACTTTTGTTGTTCAAGTTCTCTCTGCTTTTGCTCTTCTTGTTCCTTCTGCTCTTGTATCGCCCTCAATCTTTCTTCCTCTGCCACCCTCTTCGCCTCCTCTTCTGCTTTCCTCTTCTGCTCTCTCTCCTTCCTCTTCTTCTCAAGCTTCTCCTTATTTAATCCGTTCTTCCTCTTGCTGCTTCTTTTTGATCTTGGCTTGTAGTAGGGCTCTTTGTTTGGCAGCGTGTTCTCGGATTTGTTCGGGGGTCATCTTCTTGGCGTCCATTTTTGAATTTTTAATGGGTTATTATAAGGATTGGGGGTTTATGGGGTTTTGGGGTTTTGGGGTTTTGGGG